AAGAATTAGGGGATCGGGTGTCACGAACTGACACGTAGAATTAGGGGATCGGGTGTCACGAACCGACACGTAGAATTAGGAGATCGGGTGTCACGAACCGACACGTAGAATTAGGGGATCGGATGTCACGAACCGACACATAGATATAGGGGATCGGAGTGTCACGTACCGACACCAGAGAATTAAAGATAATGAATCTTGAAAGATGTTAATATATTCAATCTAACGAACATAATTCCCAAATGAGTATGGTGTTGAGGCTTGAGCCCTCATGGATGAACTTGATGGTACTTATTGATGATTATAATACTTGTTGTGGCTACCTGTTGAGTTTTATAGTTGATTTACGATAATATTGATATATACTGTTCCCTATTTTGAGTTGGCCGATGATATCTACTCAGTACCCGTGTTTTGTACTGACCCCGACTTTTATGTTTTCTTCTTGTTTATTTGTGGAGTACAGCAAAAGTGCCATCGTCTTCAACTCAACAGTAATTCAAGCCAGTCTTACTACATCGGAAATTCAGGTGAGCTAATGCTTCTAGCTTGGACTGGATCTTCTTCTTCAAGTCTTGATGCCTTGAACTTCCGGCATGGACTAGCTTCTTATGTATTTTTAGCTTTTAGAATACTCTTAGTTTAGTCATTTGATTGTAGATGTTCTTGTGATAATGACTTCCAGATTTTGGGGATGATAATAATAGTTTTGAATTGTTTTTATTAATGAGTTTAAGTCTTCCGCATTACTTTTTGTTGATATACGTTGAAATGTTAAGGGTTAGATTGGTTGGTTCGCTCACATAGGAGGGTAAGTGTGGGTGCCAGTCGCGGCTCGGATTTGGGTCGTGACACACATGTGTCACATATATAATTTAAAAAGTACATTTAAAATACAAAAATAATTGACAATAAATTATAAAATATATATTGGTCCGGACTTTTGTATCTAGTATTTATAGAGAAACTTTCACATATAATCACTCAAAAATAGCTCAATTACTCTTCATAATTATAGTTTTATGATTACGATTCGTATCTACATGTTATGGGGAGGAGAGAAACGAGTGAGACTGAGAGAGAGGAGAGAGGCGAGTGAGAGAATGAAAAGAGTGGGAGAGAAGTGAATTGTATATGTATATCGGTTAGATAATTGTATATTATACATATGTATTTGTATATATGGCAAGCAAGATTGGGAGAAGGGGGAGAGATGTGCGAGATTGGGTGAAGGAGGAGAGAGGCGAGCGAGAGAGGAAAGAGAGTGTGAGAGAGGTAAATTGTATATGTATATCAGTTAGATAATTGTATATTATACATATGTATTTGTATATTCTAATGAATTTTCATATACAAACGTGACTAGTTATACAAAATTCAAAATCAGCCACGTAATTAATATATAATATTAGTCGTGAATGGTAATTGTAGCAAACTATAGCTACAATAAGTAAAATTAAATAGTATAAGTTTGTTTAACCACGTAATTTTTCTTTTTATATATAAGTGGGGAGGAGGAAGATGCAATTCTTTTGTATTTAGTCTTAAACTTTAATTACAAAGTAGATCTAATAGTTTACTAACTTTACTTTTGATTCCTTAATTATTTAAAAACTTTAGTTGTGATCCTTGTAATATTTAATTAATTGTATTTAATTTTTAATTAATTTAAGTACATAATTTTTATTCCTTAATTTAAAATATGCCTGTTATTTAGTATTTTTTTTTCTAAAACTAAATACCCTCAAATATAAAGTAACAAACAAAAAATCTAATATAATACATCGATATTAATAAATTTTGGTTTTGATCCTTCAATATTTGATTAAGTATATATAATGTTGTCTTTTAATCAACTAAAATGTATGTTATGATTTCTTTATTTAAGAAATATGTGATACTTAAATATGAAATAAGATATTGAACATATATTGCTCAGTAATTCATTAAATTTGAGAAAATTCACGAAAAATTAAAAGTGTAAATATCAATTAATTAAAAAGTCAAATTAATGTTAATTTCCATAATTAGGAACATTAGTCCAATCTTATTGGCAAAAATGAAGTTGGGGTCAAGGTTGGCTGTCATTATTATTATTAATTATTAATATAATAGAAGTGGGGTCTTTTTCTTAAAAAAATATTATTATTATTTATTATCAAATTATTAAATATAATATTCAAAGTGGATTTGTCCCTAATGATTAAAAGAACAGATAATAGATCTGGTATTTTTCCATGTACCTTTAGAAAAAAATTCTCTTTTTTATTTTATTATTCTCAAGTTTAAGACCAAATAACTACCAACATTACATTAGCACAATAACAATAATAATGTTTGTAGTATAGTCTTGTGCTTATAAAAAAATTGAAAAGAATAGACTACAAATAAATTTTATACTTATTTTTATGAAATAAATATTCAATTCAATCCACTTCAAAATCTATGTAATATGTGAATTTGTTAAGAAAAAACTTTTTTCATTTTTTAAAAAAATATACGGCATTAAAATAATATCAAATAAGCTTTTAGCGTTAACTAACATTTATGTAGGGATAAAAAATCATACCACCATTTAATTCTATCAAATCATATGTTTATCATAATTAAGTTATATATTCAAAGAAAAATGTGTTTTTTGTTTTTGGTAGATAATGCATTATCGATAGGTATTGATAAGTGCTTCTATAATTAAGTAAACATTAATCTATAGTTAAGAAAATATAAATAAAATATATTAATTTTCTCATAACTTTTTTTCCCTATCTACTTATCAAACATCATAAGTTTTTTATAAAAAATTATATATAAATATCATATTTCTTATCCTTATATTAAACTAATCTTCATTTTATTTTATAACTCCATACATTCTAATTTACATGATATTTTTCTAAATTTGAGATATAAACAAATCTATTTTTAATCGTAATTTTTTTAAATATTTTTTTAAATTGTTAATTATTATGACTTTCTTTTAGTATTTTTTATATACATTTTAATATATAAATTTATCATTTAAATAATTAAAAATTTCACATAAATTTTTTTAATTAAATTTAAATTGTTTCACTCTCGAAAAATAAAAATATTGATATAATTTTCCTCCATACGATCACATGTATACATGTCTGCCGAACTATTTATTTATTTATTTATTTTCTTCATAAGTCTGCGGAATATCAAAATGGAAAATTTCTTAACAGTCTCCACTCTCCAGTTTTGTATAAATATGTGAAAGCCTGCTAAGCATAAACCATCACTCGCCTTTCTCTCTCTTCTGCAAAACGAAAAAAAAAAAGTGTGTGTTCGCCGGCGCTTAATTCGAGGAGATTTAGAGCGAGAGAAAACGTTGTGTTCGCCGGCGTTTATTCCGATCTGTTCAGTTTAACAGAAGAAGAAAGTAAGTGTTTGTGTGTGTTTTTCCGGCGGTTATTTCGATTTTTTCAAGTTTAACACTGTTTAGTAAATAATCGGACGGAGAGAAGAAATCGGAAATCGGAGAATGGCAGCTCAACCGAAGAATGTCGGAATTCTCGCCGTCGAGATTTACTTTCCTCCTACTTGCCTACAGCAGGTACTTTCTCTCTTTTATCTCACATACACATACACTTGTGAAACTAACGGCGTGTTTGGTTAAGTTTTTAAGAGATTGGAATTCGAAAATGATTATTTGAGATGTTTAGTGTTTAGTCAATTTTTTTTTTTGCAGAAAATAACTGAAAGTTGTTTTCAAGCTTAAAAAAAATAAATCCGATAGTACTTTTTTGGAAAAAAATTAAATTAGAAATAGTTTAGAATTGTTTTTCCCAATTGATTATTCAAACACAATATTTTTCACTTAACAAAAATAGTATAAACTTATTTTTAGAAATTTTGCCAAACAGGCTATAAACTTTGATCATAGATATTAAGTGCTTTAAATTGGTTGAGGAATTGAAAGGTGGAAAGAGTGAAGGAGATCGACTTACTCTTGGCGCGTGGTTGAAATTTGGGAAATTTTAATTTTTGTCACTTTCTTATACGGATTTTTTTTTATTGTCTTTTTCTCGAAAACAAAATAAGTAGAATATTTTTTTTTTCATTTTGTTTTATTTCTGGTAAAATATTCCTTAAATGTTTTTTTTTTTCATTTTTAATCTTTTTTAAAGTTCAAATTCCCTTAATTGTTTCATCTAGAAATTCATAGAGAACTCCGTCTAATGCTTCATATATAAGCATGTAGTGAATTTATGTGTATCGTTTGATCTAATATAAAGTTTTAAAAAAATGAAAGACTTTTTAATTTGTGGTGATAAATTTTAGATGCATGTGTGATTATAAATCATTCAATTCAGAGTAAAAAAACAGTAAAAATTAAGTTATTGCTAATTATGAAAAATGTTTTTTTTTGGGACAGACTAAAAAGAAAAAAAAGTCATGTAAATTGAAACAGAAGACATAATCACATAATTGTATTACTATTTGAGGAGTCAAATGATGGTAGAAATAATTTTAATTATTAATAATTGTGACTCGTAATCACATAATTGTATTACTATTTGAGGAGTCAAATAATTTATGTCGTATCGTTTGATTTAATACAAGTTTTTAAAAAATGAAAGACTTTTTAATTTGTAGTGACAAATCTTAGATGTATGTGTGATTATAAATCATTCAATTCAGAATAAAAAGATAGTAATAATTAAGTTATTGCTAATTATGAAAATGATTTTTTTTGCGACAGACTAAAAAGAAAAAAAAGTCATGTAAATTGAAACAGAAGATATAATCACATAATTGTATTACTATTTGAGGAGTCAAATGATGGTAGAAATAATTTTAATTATTAATAATTGTGATTCGTAGTACTTTCAATTATATTATATATATATAAATAATAAGTGCAAGTTTAAGGCAGTTAAATTCTGATCACTTGCAAAAAAAAGGAAGAAAAAATCATTTTATTTTGCATTATATAGGAAGCATTGGAGGCTCATGATGGAGCAAGCAAAGGGAAATACACAATTGGTCTTGGACAAGATTGTATGGGCTTTTGCACTGAGGTGGAAGATGTTATATCAATGAGGTATGTCGTCTCCGTTGGAAAATAACATTGCATAAATTGGTCATATTTTTCTTTTTATATTGATAAACACTTCTTCGCGTGTTTAGTTCTTTATATTCTGAAGTATGTAAGGTGTTAGTAGTTTCTTCTGCTAGATGAACAGAGTGATAAATTTATCATTGTAATTTTTGTCACTATACTGTCTTCTAATTAAATTGTTCATGCTCAGTTTGACAGCAGTTACTTCCCTTTTGGAGAAGTATGCTATTGATCCAAAGCAAATTGGTCGTCTAGAGGTTGGAAGTGAAACCGTAATTGATAAGAGCAAATCCATCAAGACATTCCTGATGCAAATATTTGAGGTACACAGTTCTAGCAATGCTTGTTTAGTAAATCATCTATCATGGCAAGTTCAATGAATCAAATGTGTTTTATGACTTGTATCCTAGACGTCTGGCATATTAAGCAAACCGATTGATCGACCAAAATGAAAGTAGATAGTTCCAGATTTACTCACTACACGCTATCTCAAGAGGATGAATATATCTTGCAGCCAAGTATTAGGACAGAGATTTCAAATGTTGGAACCACTTAATTCTGCCTGAAATATGTTGTAATGTTAGCTTTATGGCCCTAAATGCACTTGCTCATCCGGTTTGTTGAAAAAAGTGAGTTTATTGTTTGTTGTACATCATCCTGAAACATTGGTTGGTGCATCTGTTTTGTCTTACAATGATATGAAATGAGCTTAAATGAAGAAGTGGGGATTCATATACCCGCATAACTTGTTTGAGGCTTGAGATGTAGTTATTCTTATTGTTGAATGTGATTTATTTTTGCCTCACTTGACATTCCACTTCACAAGCAGAGCTTTACATTATAACTAACAGGAATTTTGTTCAATGAAAACTTATCCTGCTTCCTTACTGTGTCAAACAAACAGAAATCTGGAAATACTGACATTGAAGGAGTCGACTCAACTAATGCATGCTATGGGGGAACTGCCGCATTGTTCAACTGTGTGAATTGGGTCGAAAGCTCTTCATGGGATGGTCGCTACGGACTCGTTGTGTGCACTGATAGTGCGGTAAGCTCATCACATTCATAGGATTTCTACAGCATGTGTGTTGTCTTTTAAAATATCAAGTTTGCATTGCTCATTTGGTACATATTTGTGATGAATTTGAGCATCTGCATGATAGACATTCACTAATTTCAGGAGCTTATTTTGACAGGTCTATGCTGAGGGAGCTGCTCGGCCTACTGGAGGTGCAGCAGCAATTGCTATGCTAGTCGGGCCAGATGCTCCTATTGTGTTCGAAAGCAAGATTAGGGCTAGCCATATGGCCCATGTCTATGATTTTTACAAGCCCATACTCGACAGTGAATATCCAGTAATTCACTTACGCCCATGCAATCGTTAATCGTCCGTTTTTACACTGGAGTGTTTTTTATATGTTGTTTACTTCATAAAATTTTAAAAATATGTAGGAAATTGTTTGAGATTGGTATATGAATTTCCATATGTGTTCTATATGATGGTATATTGGTAATTAATTGTTGGTTTGCAGGTGGTTGATGGCAAACTTTCACAAACTTGTTATCTTATGGCACTTGACTCTTGCTACAAGAGCTTATGCAACAAGTAAGCTGCCGGTTGAGCACACATTCTAGTATTCCAAACAAACCTCTATATTATAGTCTTTAATAACCTCTTCGTTCACATTCTAGATACGAAAAATTGGAGGGCAAGCAGTTTTCAATTGATGATGCAGCCTATTTTGTTTTCCATTCACCATACAACAAGGTACTTTATGGATCCAATACAGAATTTTGATCTTTTTTCTTTGCAAGTAAAATGATGATAAAGATTACCTGAACATTTATTTTATTTAATCCTGCAGCTTGTACAGAAGAGCACTGCTCGGTTGATGTTCAATGACTTTACAAGGAACGCTAGGTGTGTTGCAAATATTCCGTACTAAAGCAATTGCTTCCTATCTTGTAAATGGAATTCAGTTGACTGATCTTATTCGATATTGCATTTGCAGTTCCATTGATGAGTCTACTAAAGAAAAGTTGGCACCATTTTCATCCCTAACTGGTGATGAGAGTTATCAAAGCCGTGATCTTGAGAAGGTCCATACATAAGCTTTCATATTCGTTGATTTCCAAGAAATATTGTCTTTTTTCATTTTCATTTTCAAATGGCTTCGTGTTGATCTTCTAGTATATGTTTAGAATGCTGAAAATGAAGCTTTCAGTAGTAAGAATTGCCTTAACAATTATATATGTTGAGATTGGAATTAACTAGTGCATTATATCTATTGGCATATACAGACATCCTGGCAAGTAGCAAAACCATTTTATGACGAGAAGGTAAAACCGGCCACATTAATACCAAAACAAGTTGGCAACATGTACACCGCGTCTCTCTATGCTGCTTTTGCATCCCTCCTTCACAATAAGCACAGCTCATTGGTAACTACAAGCTACTTCTTTTCCTTTTGGCCTGTTTTCTAGCAATACTCTATCGTGTTTATTATAATTTCAAATGATTTTGTCAACTCAGGCTGGACAGAGGGTAGTATTGTTCTCTTACGGGAGTGGATTGACTGCAACAATGTTCTCATTAAAGCTTCACGAAGGTCAACATCCTTTTAACTTGTCAAACATCGCAACTGTGATGAACATTGAAGAGAAACTGAAGTCGAGGCATGAGGTATGATAAAATCGTCTTTATGATTTACTCACGGACATTGAACCCGTTGCCAACACTATGACAGTTGAGTACCATAACTCTCTTTGACAAACAATCTTTTGTGCAGTTCACTCCTGAAAATTTCATCGAAACTATGAAGATAATGGAGCACAGGTACGGGGGTAAGGACTTTGTGACGAGCAAGGATTGCAGCCTTCTAGCTCCTGGTACGTACTATCTAACAGAAGTCGATTCGAAGTACAGAAGATTCTATGCAAAGAAATGTGCTGAGAATGGACTTGCCAATGGTCATTGAATATAAGTCCTAGTATGATATAACTTCCATGAATTTTGCTTGTACTCTTTTAATTATATAATTGCTTCATAATAACATATAGTTTCTTTCTACTTCCCAACAAATTCAATATTTGTTTCTTGTATTCTCATCAATGTGTAGTCTTATATATGAATTGAGAAAAACTATATTTTGAGATCGGCTATATGAATCATTTGTTCTTACATAGTATCAACTATTACAAGATCAAATCGCAAAATAAAACTCGAGAAATAATATTGAGAAAAAAAAATCAAGAATAATTGCTTGTGAAGTCCAAAAAAAAAACATAGGACTACATGATGATTATTTGAAGTTGACATTGGCTTGATAAGTCATTCCTACTTGCCAACTAGAAGGTGCAACATTAGTAGCTATAATTGTTTCATGAGATGTGTAAGAAGTGATCTTAAAAGAAAGTGTTTGTCCACTTAGAGTTGCAAATGCTTGATATGAAGCTCCCCAATTATGGCTCATAGCTAACCAACTTGTTTTACTTCCCTTCACCCACATACTTGCAATATCTCCACTTCCACCAACATTCATCACATATACCAATAACCAATACCCATTTCCTTGAAGACTAAACTTTATTCCACCTTTTTTAACACAAGGTACCCTACAATCATGAGAGCAATGGTACATGTTAGAGCTAGTAAAAATAGTCGAGGTGCACACAACTGATTCTTGATTTTACTCAAAGAATTAGCGCTAAAAAGTTAGTTTTTGCAGCATCTAAGTTAAGTAACACATCAAAGCCCTAGAAATGGAAGAAAATCCTGATATGGAGCACTCCGGTCAAACGTTCTCTCCACTAAAGACGACATTATTTATAGGGATCGAACGTGAGACCTCCGGTTAGAGGAGTACTTACAATTCCACCACAACCTTTGACAGTCTCTAAAATATTAAAGAGATAAAACATAAATAGACACTCAAACTTGACCTCAGTAAGCACTCAAACTTTGAAAACATGCATCTAAACACCTCAATTTTGTCTCAACTGAGAACTAAACAGTCTAACTCATTCCCACTATGTATAATGGACACCCACGATGACACATAAATTTTAGAAGTGTCTAAATTATATCATTATGTAAGTTGGAATTTTCAACTGAAAGAGTGGAGACGAGTTGAGATATGCATATTCCAAACTAAGGCGCGTACTTACTTGCTAAAAACCAAGATCGAGTGTTTGTTTATGTATTATGCCAGTATTAAATGTTCAAACACAAAACTGAATATATCATTTACCTTCTATAAGAAACAGGGACAATTCCAGCCTTCCATTGAGCAATTTTCATAAAAGCAGGTTTAGCCATATCAAAATGTGTTCTAGGTGGATTACACCAACCACCATTGTTACTATCTTGTGCAGGATTTGGTGGACAAAGATTTGTTGCTGTCACTGTTACAATTGTTGAGTAGCAAGAATCTGACTGCACACATTTTATTTGGAAACATTGTCCACATGCAAATCCCTTGTTGTATAATACTGAGCTCAATGCTGCTGTATCTGTTCCATAACCTGATGTGACCAAATTTCCAAATCCACAAGCTCCCCCTACAAAAAGATTTCTCATTATTAAATTTAGTGTGTTTTTACGTGTTGTAGTAGGTACTCTGTCTTATTTCGCAAGTTAACAAGAAGATATTGCACTATCACAACGTTTTAATCCTTTATCGTTCTTTGAACCAAGGGTCGATCTATTGAAAACAAACTTTCTATTTTCTCAAGGTAGGAGTAACATCTGCATATACTCTATGCTGATCCGATGATCTCACTTGCATGATTAATTACAATGAGTTTTGTTGTTATTGTAGCAGGTAATATGTCTTATTTTGCAAAATTGCTATGTTGTTTGAACTCTTCAAAAATGTAGTATGACATAGGGTTACTATTGCGTTCCTTTGTAAAAGATTGTGTTGGTGCTAATGAAATGCGCGATGTTTTACATTTATCTAGTAGGTCTAACAAATTGAAGAGTTAAAGTTCTACGTACTGATCAACATAAAAAGAATATTTACGCAATGAAAATGTCCTTAAAGAATCCGTATTTTGTAATAGTATATAACCTGCTATCACAAATTAAAATTTATTGATCGATAGTGTGTAAAAATACTCTAGTATTACCCATATATATAACTTAAATCATTAAAATAAATATTGAGGATGTCTAAAATTGATCTAGTAGTAATGAAATGCTTTTATACAAACATATTCCACCATAAAAGTAGTCCAATAATATCAGCTCAATGCTAAAATAACGTAATATTTTTAAGTGAATTTTCGCTATTTATATATAAAACGTAATATAAATCAAAATAGTTTATGGATTGAGTAAACGCACCCATTGTAGCTGAAGCACTCTCATCACCATAGAACGTAGCATGAGAGAGTTGCCAAGGTGTTGCTTGAAAGCCACTAGGGGTGTCACCATAGCCCGCGCCATTTACTCGATCGATGATTGCTAGTGTTGCAACCACCAAGAACATTGTCAAGCTCCATCTATGGTGAAAAGAGGCCATGAAAAATTAGCTTACAATCAAGAAAATTGAAATGGCTTATTTGATTAATTTTTGTAAAGATATAAGACCTTAATATATAGTTATTTTTTGTGTGTGTGTATAAATTATGTTACAAAAATGTAACACTTCGTGCCAACACGAACAATGTAAGCTTTATAAGTCAAACTTTGGTAGTATTTGAAAATTAGTTTATGTTTTATGGAAACGTGCTGGCAGGTTATAAACTTACATGTTGTACATTACTATTGTAATGTAGAACTCATTTTTGAACAAATCGAGCCATTTTTATTTCCACGTGACACCCTACATATATTATGACGTGTATATCTACTTGTTCAATGTTAAACAATTTTAGTTAGAGAGTGTAGATCGATGTCAGCTGAAGCCAAGTTAAAGATATGCATTGTGCCGGCGGTGGAATTTTTATGCCCAACTATTAGTGAGTGACATGGACAGGTCATTTCATTTTCGATAGTTTGATGACATGTTTAAGCTTTTTTTAAAATGGGTGTTGAATGCTTCTCCGATGATAAGAGCAAGAAACACAAAAATAGATGGAGAAGCAAAATAAGAATTTCTATCTTCTTCAATGATATTAACAAAACAAAAGTGACACTTAGTTTGTGAAAAATAACTTTAATTCCTTGAGATTCAAAGTCGGACTAGAGCAATTCTTTCACAAGACTTCATTATGATTCCACTGTTGTTAACATGTACACATTCTCGTCCCTATTACGATATCTTTCAAGATACATCTTACGTGATATTTTTGTTTCTTATGTGGCATCCTACATATATATATATATATATTATGATGTGTGTGTCTATCTGTTCAATTATAAACAAGTTTAAGTGTTTACATGTGCACCCCCAAAGTTGGAGAGCGTAGTATGTAGATGTTACCTGAAGTCAAGTTAAAAGACATATTTATGTATCATGTCTATCACAACGGTGACATTTTTATGCCCAACTATTAGTGAGTGACATGGATAGGTCATTTCATTTCTAAATAGTTCGATGACATGTTTAAGCTTTTTCATATAATAAAAATAGGCATAATACATAAATGTGCTCTTTTAACTTGGCTTCGAATCACATTTATGCTCTTCAATTTTAAGTGTGCACAAGTGGACACTCAAACTTGTATAAAGTTGAACAAATAGACACACATGTCCTACATGTCATCCAACATGTCATTTTTTGTCCTACGTGGTGTCTTATGTATATTGTGTCATGTAGGACTTATGCGTTTATTTATTTAAAAGTTGGATAGTTAAAGTGTCTTTTTGTGCACTGTGAAAGTTGGAGGTCAAAGTTAAAATTTGAAGTCAAGTTTAGGGTATAATATATGTATTATGCCATAAAAATAACATGGAAAGAGAAGTTCACTAACAACTGTTAATTTTTATTATTATTATTATTGATATACTTATAAGTCACACACAATACATTCCATAACATGTTCACACAATACAAGTTGCAAATCATTCACAAATTCAACACTGAATTTGTTTTTCATTTTCACAAACTGCATCATATGGTCTTTCTTCCATGCAGATTGTGTTATAAAGAGCAAATCTCTTCTGCAGATATCACCACATATAAAATCATCCTGCAGTTTGGAAGAAATCAGTAAACGGAACGTTTTTTCTATACGAGGGAAGCACATATATTAAGGGCGATTGACTCAAATCATGTATTTGTGTTATGAAATTCACGTAATATGTATAAATGATTTATTCAGAATCCAATAAACAAAAGGGGTTGTGGTCCCGAACTTATAAGTTAAAGTCCTGGACCCCCCTATGATATATTATACTTCTTCATACACGCGATAATATGTTGCTCAGACTCTCCAAAACTGTTGAAGCACCTGTATATCTGATCTTCCAAAAATGCAAATGCTTTTGGAGGATTTCGATACACACTTGGTGGTACTTTTAAACAATCCGAGCAACATCGGTTATAACTTATAACAGATAAAGAGGCTAGCTAGGGATATACCTCGAATCATGCACTACTTCCTTCAGGCAATGTAATCAAACGCGTTTCTGAATCATAGACCAAGTCTGTCCCACAACTGTGGAAGATGATGGTGATGACGATTACACTACGAATAGATCATGATAAATACTGAACGACTAAGTGTTAATGTCTGACTTACCCTGAGCATTTTACTTTGTTGCTGGAACCCCCATTAGATACCGATAATATTGTACCAAAGAAGGAAGTATTCTCTGTTCCACAATTCGGACAGGGGCCCTAAAGATCGAGATTATCTTGTGTTAAATGTCGTTCACCTAGCTTATAAGATAATACTACGCACGCCTAAAATGTTCATGAGATCTTACCTTTAAGATCAGAAAATCTTTAACAATGGCGTTTGTGATTGTAAAGGATAGCCATAGTATCAATGGCAAAGCAGCAAACCATGTGAAAATGAAACTGAAAGGCTCCGGAAGCTGCAAATCGATAAATTATATCATTACAAAAGTCAGATGAATAGTCTGATTTTTCATCTAGCTAGTCATGTATGTTACTCGGACCCTCCAAAAATGATGCCCCAGCCGTGTCAGATCTTCCAAAATATGTAGCTTTGGAGGATTCAACATACATCCAGCGGTATTTTAGATACATTAGCGATGAATTAAGGACCAATATAGGTAACAAGGCGTACCTCCAAAAGATAAGTGATCTCGAATCCAGTCAAATCGTCTAGGAAGAAAAACCTAGCAAGACATTTGCAAAACATTTCTATTACAGAAAAATCATGATAGTTGCATCGTCAGCTAAGTTCACGTATTCTTTTAACATCGTAAAACAGAACAAGTGTAACGTATAACGGGGTCAAGTGTTACTCACAATCCAAGAGCAACAACAGCAGCAGGGACATTTAACAAGAACATCTTCAGATAATCAACAGAAAGGTCACTGTAAACCTGCACGAAGTAAAATCCGTGCAACCAACTTAACCTCGTAGACATCTTGCATAGATGTAAGACGAAGAACAAGCATTTCCACAAGAGTACGACATGAAAGATGAATTATAATAAGACTAGTAAATCCCATCGAGCAGAGAAGTACAAACCTTTCTACTTCGAAGACTACACCTTGGACCCTCAACCACAATATCGCTACCATCCCTCTACAAAATTAAAAAGATGTCAATACAGAAAGACGAAATATTCCTTCACGAACAATATTGTGATCAAAGTAACAACTAAATGTCCGAGCACCTTAAGTTTCATCTTCAGCTTGTCATATTCTTTATCAGTCATAATTGGATTTCCTGATACATAAGCCATAGAAGCTTCGAGAAACCTCTGTTCATCGGGGCCTGCATAGTGAGAAACTGCTATTACTACACCTATTTTAAGTCCCGATCAGACAAAAATACGAATACCATATCATCATTCAGACAATGTATAATACATAAATTCTTCCATACTTAGCATGACAACGCTGCTTCCTTCCCACATTAGTTCTTCCTTAAGGTTATCGAATTCCTCGTTTGACATCATGGCCTTTCCTTCATAATAGAATGACTGTGGTACAAAGCCAGGAAAGAGTACAACTAATGTTATTAGAAGACGAAAGATAACAATTTAGAAATAAGAAATCGTAGATGCTAAAGTACTTGTAGTGCTTGAAGAAACTCTTGCTCCATTTCCCCGAGAGACTTCTTTCCTTTACCGTCGATGCTACAGTACTGCAAGATCTTACTATCTTCAATCTCATCCTCCCTGAGCTGACCTGAAAGCAAAAGCGGGATCCCCAAACTTAGAGGGCGTAGATGTCAGTTGAGGCCAAGTTAAAAAGACACGCTTATGTATTATGTCAATCAAATATATCAACCATCTACGAATTTAGCACTATAACAATCAAATTGAAATTAGCATAACCAATTTCAACATCCAACAATCAAACAATCAATCGTTTTGTTGGGCTAAAACAACCTAAAGATACTCTTAACATGGATTGATATCGGTATTAGCTACAATAAACCTCACTAAATAAAATGAGCTATGACGGTAAATGAACTATCAGTTCAAAATCATGACTCCGCCTCTGAAACATCATTAAAATACTTCTAACATCATAAAGAAAAAAAAACAGTGGCAGAGTCGGAGCCAAGTAGGACTCAGGGGTTCATCCAATTCCCCTCTAGTGGAAAATTACACTATTCATACACAATTGAAATCAACTTTTTATGTATATATATAGCAGACGTTGAACCCCTTCAATTTTTCTGTGTTTTTATCTCCTCAATAAAAAATCCTTGCTCCACCACTAAGGAACGGATCCAAAGTGAAACTTATGGGTTCACCAAATTCAATAGCTTTTGTCCGAACTAAATATTTATAAATATTTGACTGTGAGCTCAGTTATTATCGTATATTTAACTTACCTGGCTGATCGGCGGTGGCCTTAGGAGAGAGAACCAATAGCCTACGTCGAATAGATAACTTTCTTCCACCAAAATTAATCAAAGGGCTAACAGAATTTGGAGAAAAAATTGTTTTTTTCCTAAAAGTAGCATGAAAAAGTCGACTACTTGTTGTTATAGTAAATCCAAATTTGGTGGCCATTTGTGGCGGCGACTGCGGCGGAGGTGGTGGTGGAGATGGAGATGGATGGAGTGTAGAAATGAATATTGCATTTGTGAAAAAAAAGAACTTGAAAAATGTCAATTTGATGAGGTTTTGGTAAAGATGAAGATAAGGTTATGTGATGAATGTGTGGAGGGTATTCAAAATTTGAAAAAAGAACAAGCAATTTTTTTTGTATTTTTTTTTATGGTTGGTTAAAACTCTGTCTCGATAAATTCGTTCATGTGTAATAATTTGTAGATTATAAAGAAATAAGAGTAATGAATTTGAAATTTCACTTATGAAACAGTTTACCTAGAGAATACGATTAGATAATTAATTAAATTTTTTTTTGTGTTTTGATAAAATTCAAGAAAATAAATTTTCCATTTTTTAGCAGTTATTTGATGTAACAGAATCTGCCAAGTCAGCTTCATGATGTTGTCAAGAATCTAGGATCCTACATTTG